GTTGTTTGGCGGGTCCGGGCTGGGGATTCGAACCCGCCACCTTAGGTGTACGTGGCTGGCGCCTTAGCCGGTTGAGCTATAGGCGCTGAGCCAGAGTGCACTGGTTCTAGTGGGTTTTCTCACTTGGGCATCTGCCTGGGCACAGGGCACAGCCAAGGGCTAGGAGGCGGTGGGAGCCTTTGTGGGAAACAATGTTCAGGACCTGACTGGGTAGAGCAGTGGTTGTCAACCTGTGGATCACGGCCCACAGGAACTGTGTTAAAGGGCCGCAGCATTAGGAAGGTTGAGAACCACTGGGGTAGAGGGTGTAGAGGGTGTTGTAAAGAACATTCTCAAGTCCTGCACACTGGATTCCCTGTTAGGTCAGTCAGCCTCCCAGTCCTGCACACGGGATTCCCTGTTAGGCCAGTCAGCCAGGTGTGTACAGGGAGCCCAGGGGTCTAACTCTGCGTCCCCTGATGACTCCTGATGTTGACGGTATTTCCACATATTTATGTGGCCTTCGTATTTATTTTTTGGAAAAGAAGCTATAAATTAATCCACTAGATGAGAAAACAAGAAACACTGTGTGAGTCCATGTAAATGGCATCTGTGAAAAGGCAATGATAAAGGGGGGAAAAAATCAGTGGCCACCAGGGATCACGCTGGGGTGTGGCCTGACTAGAGGCCATGAGGGGAATTTACAGGTGAACAGAGACCTCATACTGATGTGGGGGTGGGGACAGCACTGTGTGTTTGTCAGGACACAGAATCAACACAAAAGAAAAAATCCAAATATCCTGTATCTATTTATAAATAGAATGTGAAATTAAAAGCCTTCCTTCTTATGAAGATACAGACACAAATAATTTCCCTGACGAAGGTCCCCAGATGTTTGGGGAAGAAGCAACAGCAGCCTTCCATTTCCCGGCTTGCTTGATGCGGCCGCAAGAAGGTTCGGCTTCTGGGAGAAGCACCTGAGCAGCTGGGCACTGCCCTGGGAGCAGGAGGCTGGGCTGGGGAGGGCCAGGCATAGGCCACATGTCCAGGGATGTGGGTATTGGCAGGTAGGGTCTAGTGCAGCCTGAGTGGCTGGGTCTGTGTCCACAGGACATTAAATATTGATGAAAGTCAACCCACCAAGAAGATACAAAATTGTAAATACACATGCCCCTGACACCAGACCCCAAAGCATAGGAAGGAAAATTGACAGAATGGGAGAAATAAATGGACAGTTCCAGATCCACAATAAGGGTGGGGGACTTCAGTAAGCCACCCTCCTCTAAGTAAGAAAAACAAATCATGAGGGAAGTTGAAGTTTGTAAGGAAATAGGGGACTTGAAGAGTGACCAGAAGCCAGCGAGGCTGACAGACATTTGCAGCTGACTCGGCCCCATGACGGCTGACACCCATCCTCCTCAGGGGCACCCAGAATATTCTCCACGGAAGACTAGATGTCAAGACACAGAGCTCGTCCCTGTAATTTAAAATGATTGCAATCACACTCAGTGTCTTCATTGACCACAATGGAAAGAAACTAGAAATCAATGAAAGAAAAAGCCCTGAAATTGACAAATATGTACAAATTCAGGAAAAACCCTTAGACCAGCAAAAGGTCAAAGGAGAACCTGAAGGGAATTTAGGAAATGTCTGAACAAGAAAGAAACACCACAAACTACGAGATGCAGGGACAGCAGCCGCTGGAGGGATTTAAAATAAGAGGAAGTTCTCAAATCAACAATCTCACTTTATACCTGAAGGATCTTGATGAACAGGAACAAACTAAACCCCAGCCTGGCACAAGGAGGGAAATAAAGACAGAGCAGAGCCCAGGTGAATAGAAATAGATAACACAAAATGGTGGGGAGGATGGAAGAACCCAGAGTTGGTTCTGTGAAAGGGACACAGAACTGAAAGCTTTTGTCTACATTAATAGAGAACAGAGATTTGAGTAATTATAACTGCAAATGAAAATGGGGACATC